TAGGCAGGGGAGATCCCTGCATTGGGTGTCAGTCTCCGTCCCCTAAGCCCCCCCACGACAACAACGGGCAATAGATTGGGGGGGGAGGAATGGTGTAGCAATGTACTGATTTCACGTATCGGTCTTTGAAGCATTCGAGTAAGTCTTCTCCATAGTCTGACTAATCATTGGTATCGACTGGGCAGTTTGCTGGGGAGAGAGAGACAGTCCCAGTACAATTATTAAGAGTTGGATGAGTTTCTACAGGAATGGGGTTGCCAGAGTGATCAGTTAGATTTGGTAATGCTATAGCTTCAGTTTCTGATCTGACTGTTATGAGACGGGAGCGATCGCGTCTGGTATGGAAAGGGACTCTGCCCACTTGTTTTTGGAGGCATTGTTGAAAGAAAAGAGCGTTGCTCGAGTAAGGAGCTGTAGAAGGGATCACGAAAAAACGGTCCCATTTAGCTGGGCTAAATATAGCATTTAAGATATTTGTAGGGTTGGTGATGGTGGACGGTCGGGGACGTGTGGAAGAGTGAGTATTGCTGAGGGGGGTAGTATTACGGAGAGATGGAGAATAAGGCTGTAAGGCAGTAATAAGGGAGGGTGGGGTGCGTGATGAAGAATGTTGTGGGGGTAGAGTTGATGAATTTGAGGAAGTTGGAAGGGGAGGAATGTCTTCTGGAGATTGAGTCTCGGCTTGGGTGCACTAGTAGGCATTGAGGAGCGGGTAGTAGTTTCAGCGTTTGGAGCCTGGGGTCGGGGAGCTGGTAGAGTCTGAATTAGTGGGGCTATTTGATGAAGGGGCAAGCCTCATTGCCCCTAATAGTGGTATTACTTCTTCATTACTGGCCATGGGAAGCCTTGATTATGTAGGGGGAAATAAACAGTCTATCCCTCCCCCCCAGTGCCCCTTAAAAGGGTAAGGGCTAGAAATCAGGGGAATAGCATGCCCATGGTTCCTGCAGGCTGTTCAGGACTGGCACAAGGTCAGCCTTTCATCCTTTCAGCATGGCTCTTACACCTTAGGAAGTAGATAGTAGATCAAGTTGACAGTAAGCATTAATGATGGAGTAGCAGTAGCAATTGATAGAGCCGTTATCAAAGGGGAGGCAATTTCAGATAGGCTTGTTCATGAAGGGGCAAGTCTCAGTAATCCATATAAGGGTACAAAACCTTCATTACTGACCATGGTAAGCTTCAAATATGTGGGGATGAGAAGTGGTTTGCCTAAAGATTAATCAAGGGAATACTGTGCCCATGGCTCTCCAAGACTGTTCAGGACAGAGCCAGCTTGTCATCCTTTCAGCATGGCTATTACACTTCTTAGAAAGTGGACTGAAGATGAATAGGAGAAGAGATGGAAAAATAGGGGAGGAGAAGACCATGAGAATTTAGTTGTAGTACGAGCTGAGGCTTAGGGTTGGGGTGATCTCCAATATTGTGCTTGTCTGTCCCCTATGGCCCCATCAATAACAACTGGTAATATGGGGGTAACAATAGTAATAAATATGTTGCCAAAATAATGATTTTTAAATTCAATAAGGTAAACACCATTTTTCTGCATAAAGAAACCAGAAAACACTTTTCAAGCCCTTTTTTGAAAAATTAGTAACTAATGTAACTCTCTTCATATCTTGATATCCAGTGTCATTAAACAATACTGAAAATGTGAGAAAAGAAAAAATGTGTACAATTTTTTTGTATGTACATTTTCCCATTGCATTAATGTAGGAAGTAATAAAAAGAATCTCATATGGCTTTCTGTTATCATTTAATTTCTAAAAGTCTTCAGGATCAGGATGTTCACTGTTCCTAATTTAACATGCAACTTAAAAAGCCAAAGTGGGAACACCTACTATTCACCGTGTCATTCTCAAAAATATGCCTTTTACTGCTTTTGTCAATACAGATTAAACAAGCAAGGATCAATTTTGAATCCTTCAGCATCAGCATCAATTAATATCTACCTTTAGCAAACTCAAGTCTTTAATAATACTGCTGGGGTGAACAAAACGCAGTGTCCTGTCATGTGCTAAAAGCTATCAATACAATATACCATAAACAATATGGCACCTATAGATTGGGAAACTAGTTACACACTGAGAAGGCACATTTAAGAATATTGGTACATGAAAAAAATCACAGTAATGATTGTAATAATGCTCTGAACAATAATTAATATATTATATATCTTGAGCTGAGGGGAGGTAATCAACTAATGAGCTCTAAAAATAAGTCTACATCACAATGAGCTTGTATGAATATTCAGTTTCCTACAGAGTATTGATATGTTTTGAATTTTGTGCATAACAGCATAGGAAAAAGAGACACTTAGATACTAAATATATCAAGAAAAGAAAAGGATGTGACAAAAAGACACCCCAAAAAAGAAAAGGTTATGAAAAAAATGTAAAACAATAAAACTGAAAAAAGACAGAACATCAAATTCAAAGTGGAAGAAATTAAGCCATTAAAAAGCTTAGGCTCACATTAACCCCTTGTATGCCCTGTAATATTACATAAAACTAGGTGAGAACAGGTCCTATGAAATTACTTCTCGGTTAAAAATTTTCCAGTTACCATTGTTCTTTCTACTCTCCTCACACATAAAGATGGACACAAAAACAAACACAAAGCATTCAACAGGGCAAAAATGAGTTGGTGGCCTGCTGACAGACTTTGCTTGCATCCAAAGGCAAACTGAACAGTGACACGCAACAAGTGTAAGGCCCACATTTTACAATAATAATTCTTGGTTTGCTCGCCATGGTTATCATAGCACACACAGCCCCTTGTTGGGCCTACCTCCTCTTATTCCTGCCTGAATTATCATCTCTGATTACATCTCATGTGGACAACATGTTTCCACAGACATAAAAACAGACAAATCCCAACATACATTGCTTGTTCACATGGACAGGGTTTCTGTTTCCAATTAGCTAATTTATTTCAATGCCACACAAAAGCACATATACACAACATTAAAAGAAAAACCAAAGGGCACACAAACATCTGCAAATATCCAATGAATAGAGACAATAACAAATAGATAAAATTGCTTTTTTATTCTCTTCAAGATCTTTCAAGACTGATGGTTTACCAGGTTTAAGGAATAAGATGATAAGGAATAAGAGAGGAGCCTGTCTCACCGAACTGACCATCCTTATCTCATCAAACCTCGCAATTCACACAGCACCACCTTCCACACTCCTCCAATATAAAATGATGTCAATAATGATAGCAAAATCATATTTCATTGTTTTGACTTCGCTCATTGCACATTTCCTTAATAACAAACATTTTCTTCCCATATCATGTTCTTTAGTGAACAGTTGAGTGTCGCCATCTATCCCACAAGGGGTTAAATTCGAAAATTTTTCATTGTAGTTATAATTTACTCTCTCAGCAAAATACTGTCATGACAATATCTTTTGACTTAAAAAATAAAACAAAAAGATGAATCATAATGCCTATAAAGGAGCAATCTGTAACAACTGATGTTACAACAAAATTTCATATTACCAAAAAGATGGTAACATAATAAACGTAAACAAAATAACTTGTTCCATGAACCATGGAATGATAAATATGACAGAATTCTATACAATCCACTCAATTATCGCCAAATACAGATATACATTTTATTTTCCAAATATCAAAAAATTCACATGCAAAACAGCCTATATAATGGCTAACATTGAAATGGTTTCAAAATGCATTACAATACATTACCATAGTTTTTTACAAGGATAGTTACAAACTTAAATGCAAAAATACATGATTTGGTTCATGGTATATAAAGTGGAATTCATAGAACACTTGGGTTTTGACATCTTTTGTTATGCAATTCTAAATTTCAACATTACAAAAGGTTAAAGAAAAAGTCACAGAGTATTTCAAACTTATACCATTAAAAATAGAACAATTTCATATTACAGCTGATACATATACTTTAATAATACTGTCTGGAAACATTATGAGCTTCTTATTTGATAAGGTAAAGCTCTTTGATATCATTCTTTGCAAGAAATGGAAAAAAATAATGTTCTATAAAAAGCATTTGGAATTTACCAAGTTGCATTTCTACCTCTAATTAGTGGCCGGAAGGTATAAAATTCAAATTCATGCCTGGGTATCAAATATTACTTTAAAGTGTGAAAATCTAATCAAAGACAATTTTCTTCTAGTACAACAACAAATAAATTTAAGGCCACTAGTTCTCTGAGTGAAAAGGGTTAACTCTTGATATTAGGGATGTGAATTCCAAGTGGGTCCCTATTATCCCAGTCATTGTATGACATTTCATGTCATCACAATCCTACAATCAGTACATACTACCACTGCCAATATATACAGTTCAATAGTTGCTACAGTATCTTTTTCAATGTGCAGGTAAATGAGAGAGGTAAAACTTATTCCAATTCTTTCACTGTCTTGAGGTTTTGTTATATTACCTCTGTTTACATATAGAGGGCTCCAAAAGTACTTACTTATTAAGAAGAAATTATGTAATTAATATGTTTAGATTTTTAAAAATATTCATGGAAAGAAACTCAACTGTTCCCTCTATTTGCACTGCCTAGAATACTGGTATTTTCTTTTTGGTAACTAGTGACAAGCAAGTAGTGAGATTTTGAAAAAAAAGGACATCAAAACTAACATAGCCAAAAACTAGTCTACACAACAAAAATGATAAGGGACATTTCTTCTAATGTCAAATGATAGTACTGGGTATACAAAATCAAATTTAATTCATATTGTGTAAAATCAAACAACTTATAAAAATGACTAGGACTGTAGTTTGCCAAAAAGATATTCACTAACATTAAACAGTATGAGTAAACACACTTCTGAATATTTGATGGAATAAACAGTCTACCTGACTCATTTTTCCTGGGCAATATATTATTAAAGGTACAAGTCTTATGAATATTATATCAAATGCCAAGATTTTCTTGAAAATCAAGCAAATGAAAAATTTCTGCCATCCATGTCTTACATCATAACATAAACCCTATTTATATGTTTAGATTAAAGCTACTACACTGTTTTTTTATCACACAAAAGAGAAGCAGATAATGGAATTTGATTTTATCACTCTCATACCTCCCCTTCTTTTTGCTTTAGGAGATGATGGAACTCATTTCAATTTCTTTCATCTCCTGAATGTCCGCCTTTAGCCTCAGCTTCAGAATCTCACGCCATATGGCCTCGAGATGCTCTGGATGTGCTATGCCTAGCCTGATGAGGGTTCCTTCCGTCATCCTCACAAGGGCCTTGCCAGTGATGTCATGCTGAAAGTGATATAATATATCAATCAAAATAATTTGCTATGGCTCCTTTCTAATACTGGTTAAATATTTTAGCAACCCCCCTTTTTTCATGCAAGTACCAATCATTCAGCGGTCTTCCATCTAAAAATATGTAATATATATATATGCCTTCACTAACTACTTTTACTTAGAAAATTAATAATAATAACAATAATAATAATAACAATCATAACAATATAAATAATTATTCAAAAATTCTTACATATAGGTCTGTATTTATACATTTGTCTACCTGCATCTCAGTTTTACGAACCTGAATGAGAAGATGGGAATATAGCTGAAAATATTCACTACAGTGCCGCTTGAACCACTTTTGAACATCTGCCGTAGTCCAAAGATAACACGGCTTCGGACGAGTTAGTTTACCCTGTTAGAAAAAATAAAACTCCATTACATTACATGCACATACATGTCAAAACGTCTAAACTGACTTACAAAAAGATATTCACTCAAACTTGCAAAGATAACACACAGACCCCAAGAGACAGAGTATCTTATTTACCTTTGGTTTTGCAGTTTGAGATGCATCCACTCCTAGTGTCATTGTCATGGTCTTCTATTCTGGATCTGAGAGTAAAAATTTTGTACTGTGTCATGATAGCCTTGTGAACTCAGTGAACTTAATCTTAAGAAACAAATACTCAGTGCTGTGACATATAGTTATATGCATTAATATCTTTATTTTTCTATTTTCTTCTGTGATCTGATTCTAGACCTAAGACTTCCCAACCCTTAAGGAAATTGTGGCTTTGGTTTGTGGCCAGTCTATCCTAGTGAATGCTTGTCCATCAGAAAGGAAGGTTAGCATGCTACCACAGAGCAAAAGGAAAAAAGAAAAAAAAAAATCTTTCTTGAATTCCTTACTCTGACTGTCCTGCATGTGATGATTAATTCAGTACAATAGCCAGAAGTACAATTGCATATTACAAATTTCCTTGATAAAAAAAAAATGTATATATCAATAGTGCTTGATTCTAGGGGATGACTTCCCTAGAAAGTGAACTAATGACCTAAACTTTTCTAATATCAGAGAAAATTAGATAAATTATGTATGAACTATTGTAACATTCAAACAAAAGGATAGAGAAGTTTGTTATATATTTTAGTTTTCTCATGAAAGAAATGAAAGAATGGAAGTTAAATGTATTCTTTTCATATATAAAAACTGCCAAAATAGAATGAGTATTACATTTACAAAATTAAATCTGTCAATTTGTGTGCAATATCACTGCCTTTCCAAGTTACAAAATTTTGAATTGTAGAGAGCACACTGAATAAACGTATATATAAATTTTTAATTTTTAATGTTTGAAACAAATAAATGTGCTAGACATCAAAGCACTATGGTAAAGTATGGTGTCAGAAAGAGTAAAGTTGAGTTAAAGAGTAGGATAAAATGTGTTAAATGTCAAAGACTTGTGAGCGTTATAGGATATTATGGTAGTGAAAAGGGAAAAGAGGGGAGTAAGTGAACTAGAGCAGAGATTAGTAGAAAGGGGAGGGTTAAGGGGGTAAGGTGATTGAGTGAATTGCAGTGTATCTGTCACTGGGAAAGGTTTAGGAATAATGTTCAAGGAAAAAAGAAATGGCAGTTGGAAAAGTACAAGAAGAATCCAGAAAGAGGGGAGGGTGTTATATGTCACAGATTAGAGAGTGTTATAGGAAAGTATGGTAGTGTAAAGGGAAAAGAGGGAAGTAAATGAAGTAGAGCAGGGATTATTAAAACGGGAAAGGTTAAGGAGGTAGAGCAATTGAGTAAATTGGATTCTATCTGTGATTGGAGAAGAAATAGGGACATTATTCAAGGAAAACCGAGGTGGCAGTTGGAGAAGTAGGAGAAGACAAATCCTAGGGATGAGAAAGGGGGACTGAGGAAGGTGGTGAAGTATCAGGAAGAATGTTTGGAGCAGCGGGGACTGGAGAAGGACACTGTTGTGATAGAGGGGATTCATGTGAGTATTCTGGGTGGGATATGTTTTGTGGGTGTAGGAGGAAGAGGGATGGAGGGAACTTGAGGAGGAGGAGGAGGATGGATATCTGCAAATATAAAGTTTTAAATGAGGAGTAAGAACAGAGGGATTGGGGAGTGGATGAGGGAGTGGAGTGTGCCCTTGGGTCATCTTTAGGAAGTTCTGGATGTCTTCAAGGCTTTCTGGAAGGGAGTTGGGTGAATAGGACTGAGAAACAGAGGTTCTCTTGTGAGGGGGAGAAGAGGAGATACTGTACTGCCACTACATCATAACATCAGACAAGACAGGTAAGTAGGTAATTTTCCACAGTCTGACAGGCCTTTGTAGATAGGACAAGCATTTGGGGGGATAGAAACAATTCTAGTACATGTATTAAGAGAGGGGTTGAGTGAATGGGTTTTGCCAGTACGCAGGTCAGTTAGGGTCAGATAGTGCATGAGCTTGGAAATTCAGGCATAGTACGACTG